TCCCCGCAAGCGCTGCGCGCCCGGGGCCGGTGCTCACCGTGCGCCATGTGCCCGGGGCCAGGCCAGCCCTGAGCACCTGGCGGGCGCATGCAAATGCCCCCGTGGGCGCCATGGCGCCTGCGGGCACCGTGTTGGGGACCACGGTCCTAAGGTGTAGCTAATGTACTACATTAGCTACAATATAGCAGTCCTTTTTTAAATCCCCGCAAGCGCTGCGCGCCCGGGGCCGGTGCTCACCGTGCGCCATGTGCCCGGGGCCAGGCCAGCCCTGAGCACCTGGCGGGCGCATGCAAATGCCCCCGTGGGCGCCATGGCGCCTGCGGGCACCGTGTTGGGGACCACGGTCCTAAGGTGTAGCTAATGTACTACATTAGCTACAATATAGCAGTCCTTTTTTAAACCCATGTTTATTTTGACAGTATAATTTTTAATTATTTATGTATTGTTACAGCATCTTGGATGTAAAAAAATCCTACTTGTGTATTTAAAGTTTATTTTCAGTAACTCTTGTATTTAGTGGAACTGAAAAGTAAGTATAAATCATTTTTTTTCTTTTTTTCCTATCATATTTATATTGTGTATTTGTTAACATCTTTGTTTGTGGTCAGTTCCTTTATTTCCATAAGTTCTTGTAGTTTGTGTACTCAAAAACAAAATAGAAAAATCACTTTTAAAAACAGGAAAACACTATAAAATCAAAACCAGTAAGGGAGTCAGGTGCAGTATCTAAAGCTACTTTTAATTTTTTTAAACAGATTTCTGGCAGTGTGTCTGTAAAACATGAATAACATGCACATTCACAGTTTAGTCATACTCCACTACCCAATTATTTAGCCACCTATTGAACAAGACACTGTCTAGAACCAGTTACTGTTTCAAAAGGAGCCTCAGTTACTTTCAAACTTATGGATAAGAAAATGGAGGCAGAAGGAAGAAGCAATTTTTTTTAAGTATGTGTTTTTTAAATGATACGTCTTACACTGCATGTGTAGAAAAGGCAAATTTGGTTGCTAGTGTGATAGGGAAGGGTAAAAAGCCTGTTAAAAGGGAAAAGGGGCAGCTGAGACAGAGAAGCTGCAAACTAACTAACGGCCAGGTGAGCTGAATTAGGCTGCCATGGGGCCTCTTTAAAAGCCTTCTCTAGGGGAGAAGGAGAGTGGAGGAGGAGCATGGAGAGGGGCAAACAACCTGGTGATAAGAAGACTCAGAGAAGTGGAACAGGAGGAACCTCTCCCCACTGCGGCCACACACGTCCCTAGGCTACTGTATGTGAGGGCTAGTGGGAGGGGGAGAGGGGAAGCGCTCGGGTCAGCCCTAGGGCCACCTGAGTTTCGCTCCAAGGATGGTACACTCCCCAGTCACCCCTGGTTCCATCCAGGAGACAGCCACGTAATGGGAATCTGAGAGCCCAGACCACGTCTGCCATATGTGCTCCCAGGCACTGTGTGGAACACCACTGATTAGCCCAAAGCCTCACAGCCTCCCCGGCAGGGAGTTCCACAGGTTAACCCAACACACGTGCCCTCCCACCGCCCAAGGGGCTAGGACATAGACCGGTGATTACAATACATGGAGGCGCACCCTTCTCGGGGGGCACTGCTGTATGCAAACATACAACACGGGGGGGAGGGGAGAGTGGGCCCAAGCCACAGTACTGCG